ATTTGTTTGTTTGGGGAAAGACATGTCAGAAGGTAAGAGGTACCAGTGAAGAGTAACAATTTTAGATCTGGATCTACTGAGGATTTAATTGCAACAGAAGGCAATGTGAACTAAAAGTGACCTTTAATTGATAAATTCCTCTTTCAAGATGTTAGGTATAAGAGGAAAACTAGGGGAAGCAGAAGTCTGCTGTTAACAGAAAAATATAAAATATGATACGCCTTCTTGCTTCAGCCCTGCCAGAAAATGTGTGACTTACAAAAATGTATTTTAACAGGAGAATACAACCACAGGCTGGAATAAGGAAAGAACAGAGTTTAGTAAACATGAGTCAGTTGGCTTCAGATTGAGAGGACTGGTTCAAATAAACCAATCAAGTCTATCATAAAGCAAATCTTTGTTAACTCTGTAGATGACAAGAGCCTGGAGCTCAGAAAGTTCAGCAAGAATTTGAAGGAAGGAAAAAAAAAAAGATAGTTTAAGAAAGCATGACTAATTAGGAAAGATTAAAAGGCCCAGAAAATTCAAAATAGGCAAACACATTTTTTGCCTTTATAAAACAAAGAAATGATGTCAGTTTAAATTCGGTACCCCAAAGATGCTCGCTTGTGCCAGCAAACATCCCAGTCACAACTGAAAAGTGCAAAGAGCTGTAGGAAAAAAAAAAAAAAGGCAAAAACCAGCTAATCCAAGTTTGTTGAGTAGTCAAACATCAAAATAGTCAAACATCCTACTTCAGTTGAAAGATTAGCCTAATTAAAACCAGGGGATATACAGATGCAAACAGGGTTCTAGAAATAATTTTCATAAATTTCTCACATTCAAATCTCAGAAGAAATTAAAGAGAAAGTATTCTAAATATGATGACTATGTGGTAGGCATAAAACAAATTGAAAACTTATACTAAGAGTCTATTAATAAACTTATGTTATAGTCCCAACTATTTAAAAGCAAAAAAATCTACATGACCCCAACTAGGTCAAATATAGATGGAATCAAGTATTATAAATTGAAATTTGGTTGGGAATTCTGTTTCATTTGTGAGATGCACAAAACTCTAGGCACAGTATTTCACCACTGTATGGAAGTTAGGCAGCCAGGCAGCGACACAGCAGGGCAACACGGGCATTCATACCATAAACTGATGAGTTGGCAGTGTGACTCTGTTGGAAGGGTGAGAACTACAATCCTCATTCTTCTGGCATGAGCAAGAGCACAGATGAATTTTATGCACCCAGGGAAGAAAGGTGATACACTTTAACATGAGGAAAGAATTATTAATCCAGCACTGTTTATGTTAAAAAGGTTGCTGAAGGTATATAGTAAGACTTTGAATATGTTGGTTAACTCTTCTAGTTAATGAAAACTCAGGCTTAGAGGTAGCATTTTATAGACACACGATTTACAGAAGCGATGAGGTGCGTAAAGGAAAGCTTTTAAGTGGCAACATGCTGATGTACTGGAAAGGTCTATGCCAGCATGTTGTGGAATCTCCAAGATTCAAAAAAACCCCGTGTATTTGTGACTCAGATGTCCTTTAAAATGGTATGGGTATAACGGATATTGCCACACTACAGGATGGGTGGATTGGTCTCCAGCCAGTCTGTATGTTTCTAATTCTATGATGTTTTTGTTAGTGATTCTTTAGACAAAAAAAAAAAAAAAAAAAAAAAGGATTTTTTTTCTGCCCAAGTGGTTACCTCTCCTGTTCTATGCTTGTTTGTTATTATACCAGTTATAAGTGTTAATTTTATCAGAAGAGTTATAGAAAAATATGGAAAGTATGTAGAGTGGAAAAAATGCCTGAAGACCCACACATAACTCACCTTTCCCTGGTGCATGCTCACACATCTCAGCGTGAAGCACTGAGAGGCAGAAGCAGCAGCAGCAGGATGCCTGCCTAGTGAGAGCTTGGCTTCCTGCGGATGGCTGCACGCCACGAGGCTCTGGAGTACTTCTGGCCAACCCAGACTGACAGTGTCTGGTGTATGTCAAACTAACCCACAGCACAAGAGATGCATCACTTTCTTCACAAGGCTGTTAGTCGGAATTATTCTGCTGTGCTAAACAAGACTAATTTTGGTAGCAGTAAAACTGATGCATGTTATTTAATCATAATTTACAGAATGAAGTGTATGTTATGGTAATACTTTCTCAAGTACTTTGTCGTAGAAAACAGAAATTGCTCAGTAATGTAAAAATTTCAGTACTCATGCAAAGTTAGGCCTCATTATAGCATTAAAGAATACTCTTTCTAATTAGAGTAGACAGTACTCTTCCAAAAACATATACATTACAATAACAAAGTCTACTGCTGCAGTCTAATAACTGCAGATGAGAAATACAGGTAGTATTTCCCTTTGTATAGCTGCATTTTTATTGATAAAGAATGAGTTTAGTATTTTAGCAGTAATGGAATAAGCAGTTAAAATATAAAGTTAAACCCATCAGCTAGGGCACCTGATGTCTTTTACAAAGTCACTGGGATAATGCCAGTGTTTGGCTATACCTCACCCTTGAAGAAAAGCTAAGGCTTTTTGACACTGCAGAGAGTAATTATTCAGCTGTGACAAACGAAATTCAGGAGGGAACTGCTCAAGTCTTACTCTAACTTGTTATTCTTGTTTTATGACTACATCTTCAGTGTGAATATTTTCTGTTGCTCCCAACTCACCCAACCTAACTATGCCACTATTCACATCTAATTTAAAAAACAAATACCAAAAGACAATCTAATTTCTATTCTGGGTCAACACCATACCGACACAAAGCCAGGAATACACAGTAGCACTGTGCTCTCCTACTTATTTGCAGTCAGGAGGGTTCCATCAACCACGAGCTGGACTGACCTGAATAATGAAAGCTTACAACATACGCCTTTGCTGGTTTGCAGTCGCTATTATACCGTCCAGTTGTGGTGCCTGCTTTATGGAAGACACATGGATGATACTTTCTCATTCCTCAGCTGGCCAGTGTCTGTAAGCTGATGAAAAGCTATGAGGAGGATGTGCTTCGTACTGAACCACCCTGTTGAAAAGCAACGTGATGATTTCAAAGAAAAAAAATAAAATAGCCTTGTGGATATACATAAATATTTATTACCAGTTTAACTTCATTTTACTAGAAGTCTTTAAACAGTTTTTCTTTTTGCCGAAACGTTGCATCTGATACAGTTGCTACTGTCGTAGGTTCCCTGCACTGGGAATGCACAGCTTACACTTAGATTCCAAAACAATCTATTCAAGATAAAGAACCTTCAACTATAGTGCATACGGAGCTATTTAAAGATTGGTAAAAAGACCCTTCCCCTTCCCCCTCCCAAATAAGAGTCTGTTACAAAGAGATTTCATTACCAAAAAGTGAATATACAAATGCTAAAAAAAAAAATGCTGGCTTGAAAAAGTGATTTCAGAATTTACTGTACACATTGTAACAATTTATTATATAAGCTGCTTCTACATGCAAGCAGATCTTACATTTGGTGTAAAACATTTATACACATTCTTTACAATTTGTACATATTTAAATGGCTGTATCAAACAACACTGCGCTATGGCATTTGGGAAGCAAACAACTAAAATTGGGAGGAGAAAGACGAGGTTTATAAAACGTGAACAAAACCCGTGACACTGGAAAGCATCTAGACTTCGGCTTAGTCTTGTTTGGTTTGGTTTCCGGTTATTCAGGCAGACCCAGATTTTCCTTCTAGCACACAAAAGTAACACCAATGCAATACAGAATAAGGCAACTATTCAACCAGCAGACTGTACCCGTCACTTACAATGGCTTATTGGTATAAGGCCTTTTTAATTTTCTTTTTTTTGCTAAAATGTTTATGTTCTAGGCACATTTTAGCAAAAACTGCATTTTGGCTTTCCTGCTTGCTTATGGCATTACATCAATTACTGTAGTCAGTGCCCACTGTGAGCAGGGTGGTTGGTGGCTTTTTGTTTTGAGAAGCCCAGGCCTCAAATGATACTTCACTCATACAAAAGAAGACACCGGGCCACTTGATAAGAGACGATAATCAAAGCATAGAGCTTGTGTGATCACTACTGATGTTACTCAGTACTTTTGTCACCTTTTAGTTTGCATTGGAAGGTAACAAAAAATAAATCCAAGCCAATAGCACACCATACTACTACACAAAGACCTGAGCTTAGCTGGAATTTGGGGACTTCTACTAGTTTGGGTTAGATGTCACAGTGTCCCCTCTGCTGAAACACCTAAAACTCCCAGAGGGGTAAAACAGAAGCTGGCCCTGTACAGCACTGAGGAACAGTGCCTTATGGCATAAGATCGGAGGGCTGTCAAAGTGCTGGTATGGAAAATTGTTTTTCACACCTTTCTGAATGGCTCCTTCCTTGTTTGTACTTTGTCTTTTTACACAGTGCATAGCAAGAAAGAAAGAGCCTGACATAAGCTCTGAGGTGTTGTGCCACAAGTCCAAGACTTAGAAGGAAAAAAAGAAAGGGAAGAGTAATCTAATGATATTTAAATTATATTTACCAGAAGTCATAATGGGAGCAGTATGCCATGGCTGCATATGGGAAGCAAAACTTAAGAACAAAGTGTTCATTCAGGAGAGGATCATGAACGTGTACCAGAAACATACACAAATATAATTCCTCCTGGCTACTGGATCACTAGAGAGCTGAATTGAATATAATGAGTACTAGTCATTTTCTCAAGCTTGTCTGCTTTCCCATTGGAAAAAAAAAAAAAAAAAAAAAAAAGAAGATGTAATTTTTTAACTCTGATGTTGATTAAGAGTTTTTGGAAAAACATCTGACAGATGTAAGTCTGCATGAAGTCCATGGCAACGTATCAGTTTTAGATCTCTAAACTGACAGCATTATCTAGCTGGTTTTATTTAAATAAAGATAGAAATGGGAGAGCATTCAAGATAAGAAAATCTTAAGATTTAGGCTGATAAAGTAAAATGTTAATTAATTTTTTTCTACAAGTGATTTTTGCTGTTGTTGGGTTTTTTTTGGTGGGTTTATTTGGCTGGCAAAGGCTAACAAGTTTTTATTGGCATTGCCCCCAAATCAGAAAAGCACTTTGGAGTTGTTCTTTATTGTTGACTGCTCCTTACTGTCTACATCACAGGAAAGCGGCTGAGTGCCTGCCTCAGCTTCTGTGCAATCTGAAACAAAGAAACAGAACATATTAAATATGCAGTCACCATACACTATGCAGAAATAAGATTGCAGGCTAAAAGATTAAACAAATTGTTCCCTCATTTTCTGAAAAACCACAGTTTTTACTGCAGATTTTGTGTATGTAGGACTCTCAAAGCATTCCATTAAAGACTTCTCTTCACATATATACACTTTCTGCCTTCTTCATTTTGTGTTTTCACCGCTCAGGTTGTGCTGGAAAAGGCTGTATTCGTAGGCAGGCTGTCATCCTGCCTATTAGGTTATCTAGCACTGTGCTATGCAGGAGGGCTACAGGAAGAAAACCAGATTTTTCATGAAACCTACTTCCCTACTTCCCTGCTGAAACAAGGCCACACATCAGAAGAGAGCTCCTGTGCCCTCCCCCACAGCTCTCATGGTAGCCAGTACCCCACTTATGAGCGAGAGAATTGTTAAAAGGAGACTGGTGAGATTGCAACCAGAAGAACTGGCATAGACTGGACAAGAGACTGAAAGATGGTAAGGAGAAACCTATGCCTGACCCCATCAGATGTGTCAGAGAAACTGAGGAACGTGACTTGATGGAGGACCTGATGTTCTCATCCACTAAAGATACCTCTGGAGCCCCACTGACACCTTTTACTGCATAAAGGGCAACCAGTTGCTTATATTACTCCTTTAAGCGACAGAAGTCAGGTTCTAGCACACTCAAATTCATGTGTTTTACCAGCATTATCACATTAGATTTGTTTTCTGGTTTCATTTAAAAAGCCACAAGGAATACATGCATAAGAACAATGTTAAATGAGAGCTAAGGTTGTAGGTGAAGTGCTCAGGGTTAACGTATTTAATAAGCCACCTAAACCACTCCAGCCTCCTCTGCCCCACACTTGCATACATCTGGCTTTAAATCACAGAAGTTTCCGTTCATCCTCTCATCCTATGCAAGTTCTGTTCAAATGGCTTATTGTTGTTTTTAGTGCAGCAGGTCTTACTTACTGCTTATCACAGAACTAAAATTCTTTCTAACCTTAGTACTGGCATTGAAAAAAAACCCCACACCAAGCTGTCAATGATGCTTCTCAACACTGGTGTTTAGGTCTAATATGATGTAGTCATGTACACAGGATAGTATCGATAGGAAGATATTGTTTTAACTAATTCTTTGTTCTTTTATTTTTTTACATGCACAATTCTGAAATATCTGCTCTCTGGGAGAGGCTCATATGAAAAGATGATTAAGTACTGTGAGTATTTCTTATAAAAGTAGCAGCACAGCAAGTGCCAGGAAAATGGCGCTGAAATACTACACCTTACCGTTTCATAAAACTGTGCCTGCTGCTCCAGATACAGACGAATGACACTGTTGTAGTCATAAATCCGGTTACTGTGGAAGTGATTCATCTCAGCTGCAATTAGACCCAGGAGGCAAGTTATTTAAGAGAAGCATTTGTAATTAGGAACAGTTTCACTCAGTTCAGATTAGTGACTATGCAACAAGTTCAGTGTCCAGCCCTGCCAGCATAGTTACTGTTCTCATGCTTCCACAACCTGTTTTGCCTGCAGCACTCAAGTTATGATGGAACTGTTTGTAAAATTGGTAGGGCATCCATTACCCACTGCTAAAATATGGATGCTTCCTGGATAAAGCCAGGCTCTTGTTACAATACTCAGGTGTACAAAGATCTGATGAAGAACGCAAGCAGGATTTTCTCCTACTTTTTTCCTGAAGTGTTTCCAACAGAATTTGGCTAGGACATTCAGATTTCCAAGGGTATAGATGTCAAGTTGTAAGCCACAGCTGGAAACATTTAGCCCAAAAAAAGACAGAGCCAGTAGTGTTTGACCCATTCTTGACCAAGGCTGTTTCAGTTGAAACCTGAGAAACGGCGTTACTGGATCTGTAACAACTTTCACCACTTTCTGCAACTCTTGTCACATCACAGCTTACGGCTGAAATAAAATGTTAAATCTATACTGAGATACCAATAGAGGGAGAAGAAATATTCTAGATTATAAGAGTCATCCTAAAGGTCTCTTCCATGATTACCACTTACACAGCACAGTCCTCTTGCATCACTGTGACCAGGAAGGTGGAGCGTATGGGGAGTTTTCTTGTTTGCTTTTAAAATCAATTTTGTGTGCTGCTCTGCCCTTCTCCTGTAAAATACTGAGACTCTTGGCTTTAAGTCAGCCAAAAAAGATGCAATTCCCTCAGCAATGAGTAGTCCCACTAAAACTGCTAACAGGATGCATGTAAGAGCATGCACTGCAGGACTGAGCCCTGACTCCTCACTTCCCCATTTTTTCCAAGTGCAGCGTGCTACATCTCATATTTACATAACCTCTAGCCTAGAGAGGAAGAAGTTCATTCAAAGAATATCCAGGAAATAAAGTCTCATCCACAAGAACATGAATCTCAGCTGGATCATGTCTGACTAAACCATGAGTCAGAAAAACACTTCTGCACGTGATGAACTGCTTCCTGCACCAGGGCCCATGCTTTTTCTTTGAGACACTATCATGTCAAAAGGAAAGAAGCAGCCTGGGGTAGAAAACAATGGGCAAAATAACTGCAATTTTAGGAAAATCTAAGCAGGTTGCACACAAAAACCCCAAGCCACATCTAGCTCTTATTATCATTCTAGATAGAACAAAGATTTGCTTTCAAAGTTTGTTACTTAAGAGATGTTCTTCAGAGGTCTGCAACATTGCCATTTAGCTCAAAATTTGGTTTACCTTGTAGTGCATAAGCCATGGTGCTCACACGTTTCACCATGTTCTGTTTGTCTTGTGGCGTTATTTTACTGGTTGCAACTAATTTATCGCTTTCCTTCACTCTTTCTATTGCTCCCTGTAGAATTCAAATGCAGGAAGGTTAAAAGAGTAGATTAAAAGAGCAGTCAACTTAAAGGTCTTTATAGTCATCTAAAATGCTACTGGCTGTATTTTTGAGCTTGCACAATACACACACATATATATACATATACATGCACAATGATTGATTCTGCCTTTCCACATTTTCACCTGAAGTTTGTTATTTCTCTCTATTGCTTTCCAGAGTCCTGACAGCTTGCAGAAAGTGACTTCAGAAACAGGCATGAACACAGTCACTAGGGAATCGAGTTTGGTAAAAGCGGTAATACACAAGAATTTATACAGAAAGGACAAAAGGACCAAGTTTCAAATTAGAGCTGACCATCACAACAGACATCCCAAAGCCTCAAACTATTAAATGCCTATAGAACCTTATTTGCATATTATACAAGATGAGACAACATAAACTATTTTCCAAGAGACTACAGCTCATTTCAGTTTATGACTTTTGATTCAGTAAAATCTTTGTGTCACATAAACAAGCACAGAAAGAAATGCCTCCCCCTTCACAATGTATTTGTGCCAAACAACATTCAAGAGAATCTGTTTACATGTCTCTTGGCAATAGGCTTATGTTTCAAGTCTTAAAAACACTTATTCTCCTTTTATGGTATTTTCCCCCAAGGGTTCCATGGAATGAGGGACTGTAACTGTCCTGAAGAAAGAATATACAACTCTGATATGCTTTTATCTTTGTTGCTCTCAGAAGTATGTTCTTGTTTTATACATTTAAAACTTCAAGGGGTTAAAAAACCCACTTGTGTACTTGTTTAATACTTCAAATTTTTTAGTTTCCTGACATATGACATACGAACAGGCACATGAACATAAGGAAAACTCTAGGACCAAAAAAAACCAAAAACAAAAACAAAAAAAGAACAGAGTATCCAAAACTAGACACAATGGCTAAATTTATTGTTTTATCATTTGATGGCTTTCTTATTAGAGAAGAACAAAGTGGTTGCTTCTGTTTGGTTTTGTTTTTTTTCACCCCTCCAAAAAAAGTTATCCCTATTCTCTATTTTTTTAATACTAAAGAAACTCCTAGGCAGTGCGTGATTATTTATCACATATCAGTAAGCTAGCCTTGTAAGCCTACACAATTTTTCCTACAATATTGGTATGGTTTAGTATTAGCTACCATGTAAGACTCAAATACTACTAACACTACTACTAATTTACACTACTGCCGTTCACCAAATTGAGACATGAAGTTAAGCTGAAGAAAATCATGAAGCTTCTAGTGCTCTACTATAGCAGAAAGTAATGATATTCTCAATCTCGAGACAAGTTCTGGCTTCCCTCGCCCTCTAAGTATTTTTTTATTTTAAAAATCAACATGCTAGTTTCACAGAAACTTTCAGTCTTTCTGCAGACATGTGCCAGGCTGCTGCAAAAATGCAGTGTACCATACCACCACTTCCGTTGCTGTAGATCTTCCTACTGCCCAACCCGTAAAAGGAAAGGCCCCTCACATACCTTATGAGCTCCTATGATGTCAGGAAAGCAACCAAGAAATCCCTTATATTCATGATTTGTTTCCATCAAAAAGTGAAGATCTTTCTTGGGCTAATAAACAAAATGTAAGTATTAGTAAAAGTATCTGCAGTATAGTAACATTACACAAAGAAAAACCAGGATGCCAAAAAAAGGATGAGGGGGAAAAAAAGGAAGGAAAGAACAGAAAAAACCCAAATAAAAATCTTAAATATAAAAAACTTGCAATAAACAATTAAAAAAGTCCTTATTAAAATATAAGCTCTTTGGAGTAAGGCACTGAGCACCAATGAGCAGATGCCTCTGTTCTTTGTTTTACTCAATAGTAGCTTATGAAGTGAGGGGTTTTGCCTCAGATTTTCTCTGAAGAGGAGTTACCAGCCCTAGCACTATTAAGCAACACTCTGATTGTATATACAGATACGTACATGCACTGGTGCATCTCCTTAGCTGCTTACTTGGAAAGCTGTTTTAAGAACTTCGAGATTCAACCCTGAGATCAAGAGGATCTTCATTTTGGAGATGTTAAGCTTAATACACTAAACATCAATTTATTACTTGAATGCTGACACAAATCAGGATTTATTTAAACTGGATTTTTACTGAAGCAGCCAGTTGCATGTTAAGACAAGGAGATGCAGCAAGATCTGGATCCTGTAGACATTTGGGGAATGCAAGTGGAAAGAAACTCTACCCTTGATTAAATCTCATTCTTTTGTATCAGTAATGGAGATGGCTCACTGACATCAGAAAACAAGCATTTAAAGAGGAAGCAATCATTTTAGTATTTTAGAAAACAATGCGATCTTTCTGATCCAAGAGAAATACTCTCCCATCACATCCCCCCTAAACTGATACGTAGTAGAAAAGACGAAAGTGCATTTAAAAGCGTTAACAGCCATTTCATTAAACCAGTCTGCAGCACTAGCAGTTATGTTTTAACAGAAAAGAAAAAAGAAAAGTCCAAAGTAATCCAAACAGGTGATATGTTTGTACACACTACGCCAGTGCATTCATAATACTCCTACCTGGTCTGCTACGAGACTGGCGATTTCTTCATAGGTTTTTCCTGCTTCTGTTATTGCTCCATTGAGATCGGATTCTCCTAAAAGTAAACATCAGTGTTCAAATTATAGTAACAAGCTTGCTTTGATTCAAGGCAAATTTCTAAAATAGCTTGTTTTACAATAATAAATGCCTAGTCATCATTTTATAACCAGCAGTAATAAAGACGCTAGAAAAAATTAGCTGGTTTTATACCATTAAAGAACAAAAACTCTGAAGATCTTGTAGAAAATGAATGCTAAAGGGACCATGTAAACACTCTTCCACCATAGTACTAGCCCTATTCACTTCCACATTTCCTAATTATAGGTAGTTTAAACACACAGATATTCCCCCACATGGGGTACAGGATTCCACCTACCAGAATGGGAGGGAAGGGAGAATGAAGAGGGTGACACTAGAAGATAGACTAACAAAGCTGAAGAGACACCTGCTGTTCTGATTTTTAATAAATGATTTTCACACCTGATAAGCAGTACTTCTCCACGATGCCCTAGGGAGCAGTGATGCTAGCAGTGATGCTCTCCAACAGTCCTGGACTGTAATTGTTAGAAGGTCAGAGAAATGGAAGAAGACACAACTAACTTTTTTCCTTGTCAACAAGATTTCTGACCCTTTAGGGAACTCTTAGATACATTTTCAAGCTCCGTAAGAATAGCTACTTTTGAAAATGAGTTTCTAACCTTCACCATCATATGAAATAGATCAAAGGGCCCCGCAAACTACACTTAAAAATACAGACATCACAACAAATCCTAAACTAGACAACACCACAAGCGCTCATAACACCGTATTACTAGTAGGACATGGCTATGTGGGACAAAGATGGAAACAAGCCTTACATTCTTGGTTTTTCATGCCACTTCACCTTCCCAAAACACCACAGGTTTTTTCCATCCTTGTTAGCTTGTCCAAAGCATGTAGTCAACAGTACGGAAAGCAAATTGAGGCAGAGAAAGGGGAAGGTATAATTTGCAGATATCAAATATTAGTTTAAGAAAAAATTATTTTTCTTATCCTTTCAGACATGTCTCGATACTAGGCACCAGTCAGTCAGTCTTTTATGAATGTTTTGTTTTTATTCTACAGAAATTAATCAGTGACTTAATTGAAAATTACCAAACATTGATTTAATTAATGATTGATTTGAACATTAAAATACCTTATTTTACTACAACATATGGACTAATCTATGTTAGAGATTTATTAGTTAGGATTCCTTCATTTTAGCATGTTCTAAAGTAAACAAGGTAATGGCTGAATGTTGCTTCAGTTCTATGAATCAATTCTTACTTTCCAACAGTCTGGTTTCATAAAGCCAGAAGCTTTGAGGGGAAAGTTACTGATCCTAAGAACTAGTAAGTCCAGCAACACAAACACTGCTAAAGAAACATCATGACTATGCAAATGAACAAACTGACAGTGTATTCAATACATCAGAAGTCAGCTACCAGTAGCTGGAAATGTTCATGTCATCAAATCAGATATTGCAATCTTCAGTGCCCTGTATGCTTAAATTTCTAGAACACCAGTATTTAGAAAAAAAAAAAAAAAAGATATGAGGAAATTCAGCTCTCAACAGAAACTGAACTGAGTGCCTTTAACTATAGCTGAAGGAGCCATTCCTCTTTACTGATAGTCCAGAAAAATACTCAGCCTCTAGTAGTTCTTCATCTGAAGGAATAGGTCCAGTGCCTTCTTTTAAATATTGAGATCAGGAAAGCCGCATCCTATCAGTCTAAATCTAGGTGCTTACATCTCTGCATAGAGTCTGCTTATTCCACGGACCTGTACCCGAGGCAACCATGAACTAAATTATACACAAACAGAGGGCAGGATAGACTGAAGGCAGCAGTAATGAAGACATTTAAAGCAACACGTGCACTGCACTTATTCTCTCCTCCTGAGAACTCAAATTAAAAAGCAAAGAATCCCATATATTACTAATTCTGAAAAAATATACTGGTGTACCAGTTACTAAAAAGAGCAAAATATATGGAATCAGGACAAAGGCATCAGTGGGAAGGGCATTTTCCTCAGCAAGACACTAGGGTGCAATCAGGTGCAACCTGGCAAACGGCATGGAGAAACATCTTTGCCTTGTTCCCAAGCACCACAGGATCTGTTTTTTCATGCCATTTGAAGATGCTGGAAATCAAATTGAAGTTTTCCTTCATAAGGCTGATCTGCAATTTTGCATCCTAGCTTTAAGCCATATTGTTTTCCCTTTACCCTGGCAAAAGAATGTGTGTTATAGTTCAAGCAATTTTCAGTCCTTTCTCAAGAATTCTTGTTCCAGATTGTGTCAGGATTTACAGTTCTCAAACCCAAGCTAAGAGTACATAACTATGCAAATCCCCTACTTGGTTCTCACATCCAAAAGTAACATTTTAGGCAATATGCTATGCTCCAATTCTAACTACACAGTCATCCTGTTCAAGTACAGGACAAAGATGGGAACAAAGGCTGTGCCTATTTCCAATGTTTCCAGCAGCAGAGAACTTGAGTTTCAGAAGTGGATGCATTTTAATACATGGTTTATGGGGCACAAAGCTTTAAGAGTACAAAGCAAGGGACAGATGAGTAGCTAGAGTAAGTACTGGTCAGCTAAAAGTTCTAAGATGGAAAGATTTCAGGAAGCCTCTCTGCTATAACATTTAAGGTTTTAGAA